ACGTTTTATGAAAACTTGGTTAAAAGTAATGTGCAACTTCCAGTAAACATAACCCACCTACTGTCATTGAATCAGAAATCTATATACGAACTCATATGTAATCACTTATATGCATCAGGATATATAATATAAATTTAGTACAATCAAGTTGTTAATTGATAAACATAACATAAATCATTTAAAGGACTAGTTTCCATGCCAAACACACTATCATCATCATCATCATCATCAACGGGATTACTTAAAGAAAGCGTTCTTACAAGACAATTAACCACTTTTTAGGAAAAAAAAAGTGAAAAATAATTTTGGCATTCAAAAATTGTTAAAAAATTTTTTTTTAATTTTTTCTTGAAATATCCGCTATTTTGTTTTTTTTTTAATTTCCGATTAAAAGTGGTTGATTGTCTTATAGGGGCACTTTATTTAAGTAATCCACTTGGAATTTTTTGTTTCAGATACGCCAATCCTGAGAACTATTGTCCGCCAATGGACATATTTTTTGAGATGTTAACTGAGACTGAGTTTATGAGAACTAATTATTTTTTGTTTAACTCAAAAAAAATAATATTTAAAAAATTCATATTCATATCTAATAAAGGAACAGAATTTTTATTTCTTAGCCTTCTAAACTGTACTAGTACCTTAAGAGTGTAGGCGCAAAATTTCGGACCAATGCTTGCTTTTCGGACAAATGCATTCATTTCCTGAGAAAACTAATAAATATTTTTGAAAAATTTAAACGCAGAATGAAAGATTACATTATTACCGAGGGCCGAAAGTCCCTTAGAATAAACAAAAAGTTTTTGAATGAGATATTTAAAATTAAGAATCACACTTGATTTTCTCTTCTATTTCACCCCTGTAACTTACTAAATTAAACATAGAAGTTATCAAAGACTTTCAGCCCTCGGTAATAATGTAATATTTCATTAGTTTTCTCAGGATTCGTAAAAAATGAATGCATTTAAAAAGCATTGGCTCGAAATTTTGCGCCTACGCTCTTAAGGCCTCAGATACAATTAAGACACTTACTGTTAAATTTGTAGTTCTGAGTTCCAATATCAAAATAATACCATGTCTTCAAAGTTTACTGTTAATATGGTTAGGAAATGTGTTTTTGATGCGTTTAGCAACAAATATAGACACATATAGAAGTACATTTTCTAGTCACAGCCATTGTGAACAATTCAGGAACTAGATTTTACTTCAGTTACTGTACCACTAGGGAGCGCTCATGTGAGCTCTATTACTGCTTCTAAAATATGGAAGAGTGGAGCAACAAATGCAACTTTAGATATTTTCTTATGTAGGTGACGTGTGGTCATATGCATAGAATGCTTAGCCTTAATTTTTTGCATTTTATAAAATTGAAGATCAAATCCTACTCATGCACCATATTTTTTCATAGAAAATAAAATATTAACTTTTGATAACTGAATCTTTTTAGAAATAATATTATGATTTGAAGTTTTAATTTAAATTTATACAAATCTACAATTAGAAGTCAATCACTGGGGGAGGTAGCCCAAAAAACTTCAGTGTTTCAATCAAAAAACAGATTCCTGATCTTGTTAGTTACAATTTGAAAATTCGAAATTATACAGTACATATAATTTCGGACTTTCATATTTAAAAAATAAATAGTAAGTAACACTTACTAAAATTAAAACTGCAAGTACAGCAGTGCAGTTCTGACTATAGAGATGATGTTATTGTCAAAGCTCTTAATTTAAATGTAATATATATAAAATTTCCCACCAATTTGTCAAAAAAAAAATGAGTGAGACCAATTAATATGTAATTTAGTTCTTCCTAATTAAAACCTGGCACTTGATTGTACCCTGAAGTAAATAGTATAAAAATTTATAAAACATAAATAAAATTAATTAAAAGTCAATCACTGGGAGAGAAAACCCAAAAAAATTTTAAATGGTAAAAGAGATATGGTGTATGTACTAAAAAGCAATTCCAGCACAATGACGTGTGATGGTAAATACTCCCAACTATCACATGACATCCACCCCTACCTGTCATACAAGTCCTGATACTTAAACCTATACCTGAGGAGAAAACCTCCACTAATACAAAAACCAGTGAAAGAAACCACTGAGAAAAAAGTTACTGTTGAACATTTCAAAAATAATCTAGAAATGCTTTTAGTTGTTATAAAAAGATGAATGAAAACTTTTGGAGGAATAGAAAATTTAAAAATTTAGTAAAAAGTTTCATTTATATACTTTTTTGAACAGGACAATTATTCATCATCATCATCATCATCATCATCATCACCAGTGGCATTACAGCTTGTTATGAGCCAAGGCCTTCTTCAGAACAATCTTCCATGCAACCTTCTCCATGCTTTAACTCCGATGGATTTTAGATCATCCTCTATGTTATCTTGACATCTAAGTTTTGGTTTTTCTTAGTATCGTCTTCCCACTGGTCCTCTTCAGTCGAAAATTTTTCTGATTGTTGCATCTTCATCTCGCCTAATTACATGTCCTATCCATCGAAGGCGTGCTAATTTAATAAATTTTACAATGTCAGGTTCCTCAAAACTTCTTTATAATTCAAAGTTGTAGCGCCTACGCCACAAACCCTGTCCTTGGACTCCTCCATATATTTTCCTTAGAATTTTTCTCTTGAAACGTCTAAGCAGTTCTTGGTCATTCTGTGTGAGTAACCACATTTCTGACTCATATGTTAACACTGGCCTTATTAGTGTTTTATATATAGTAATTTTAATTTTTCTGGGTAATTTTGGGGCCATCTGTTTCCTCAAGCCATAATAGCGCTTATTGACAAGCACTATTCTTCTTTTAATTTCTTCGCTGATATTGTTGTCTTTGGTCAGCAGCGAGCCCAGGTAGACGAAGGTGTCCACACCTTCCAGTTCCGGATCAAAAATTATTATTCTAGGTATCTGGTTGTCTGATCTAGCACAATACATATTTCTGGTTTTCTGTGCGTTTATTTTTAATCCCATTCTCAGTGCAGATGCCCTTAATGATCGAAATACTTCAATCAGAGATTTCGAGGATCTAGCAATAATGTCTATGTCATCTGCATATCTGACCACTTGTACAGATTTATTAAAGATGGTGCCATTCATATTAATATGGCACTCTCGAATTACTTTTTCTAGTGCAAGGTTAAATAAGAGACATGACAGTCCATCTCCCTGTCTCAGTCCATTTTTACAATGGAAGGGTCTTGAAAAGTCGTTTTGGATTCTGACTACACTCTCTACGCCTGTGAGTGTAAGTTCCGTTAGTTGAACAAGATGAAGCGGCATTTGAAATTCCACTATAGCCTGTAGAAATTTTTGTCTGTTGACTGAGTCATATGCGGCTTTGAAATCCACGAATATGTGGTGGGTGTTGACTGCGAACTCAAGCATTTTCTCAAGAATCTGTCTGACTGTGAAAATTTGATCCATTGTTGATTTATTGAGTCGGAAACCGCACTGGTAGTTCCCAACTATTTGTTCTGGAGGATTATTCAATGAAATAATTTCGAAAACAGTCTAAATATACAGTCTTAAAAATTTAAATATATACTCTTTCATACTTTTTTAAGGTCTACAATAAGAAATTGAAGAATTTAATATATTACAAATAAAGATTTTATTGTGAAAACAACAAAAAAAAAACAGTTTGCAAATCAATGGTATTAAATTTTTATTAAGTCTGGATGCACAAGTTAAATAGCTCAGTTCATAATCCTTCCCCACTTCCTCCAACTTTATCTTTCATGAAATAGTTTCAAGCTGACTGATGGCCATAGTTTGAGTTTATGCAGTCACCCTCTACAGGAGTATTTTAAAATATAATAACTGTGACCAAATTGCCCATTTGAACTGTGCTTCTATATGCATCTATATTCATTGCTTTTAGAGTAAAATCAAGGGTACCACAATGATGTCATTGTGAAAAACCGCTGTTCTTGTCAATGAAATAACTGAATCCTTGCATTACTAGAAGTTTTTAATTATGACAGATAATTTATAAAGTAATTTGCTGTGAGACTGATGTGATTAAGCTTCAAATAGATTTCAATTTAAAAGTTAATTATGCATTTCTCAATAAATACAACTAAAACTCTATACTTTTCCCTTATTACATTTCTTCATGAAGAACGAGTTTATTGAAGTTACGTTAAGTAAAAAAATATTTTAAAATCAATAATTATCATGGAATTCAGGTCAGAAAGACCCTAAACTTTATACTGTAGAAGAGTAATGGCAGATGTCTACTGTAATTTTAAGCATCAACATCTAGTTATCCACTGTTCTTGAGAAAAATTAAATTAAACATCCCTATTAAGAGATTGAGTCAATGATTTGTTTTATATTTCATTTCAGGAAACAAATTATTAGTACTATTTTATTGACAGCACATTAGTTCATTAACATCAATGTAGACATGACCATTTGAGGTCAAATAGAGTAGGTTTTAAGAGGTTACTACATACATCTAACATGTTTTTATAATTTAAGGAAATACAATATTTTATATTTTCTTTTACACAAGCGTTTTAGAACTGTCTACGTTCTCATATTTATTATGAGATATTGAAATCAAAAAATAGATTTTTCCTGGAGTTTCCCGTAAGTATTGTAAAATAAAATTGAAGATGAAACATACTTTTTAAAGCCTGATACTGATAATATTGATTTATTAATTGATTAATTTTAATACAGTAATTCTCAAATATTGAACAACTAACACTTGAAGCACTATCTACTGTAATCTGAGTACATTTAATTTAATTTATTGTTAACTTTAAATAAGTTCCACTAATAACCTTAGTAGTGAAAGGAGTTGAATGAAATTTGTTTAAAAAATACATGTTTCTACTATCATTAAAGATAGTTAAAAGTTGTTTAAAGTGATCAAATGTTTGTAAAATTGAATGTGACACATTATCTTCTTGATACCAGAGACAGTACATTACCTATAAAATTGTTATAAGCAAATAATAATAAATGCACAACTCACCGATTTGTCCTGACATCCATATAGCAAACATAGTAATCACATAATTAACATCATTGGGACACATGAACATAACTCTTTCACCAGTACGTCCATTGCAGAGATTTGTGATTTCTTTTGAAAGCTCATTGGCACTTACAAAAATGTTAGCATATGTATAACTGGCAATCCTATCTCGAATTGCTATTCTATCTGGAAAATGGGTGGAATTTCTAAAGACTGGTCCAGTGGGCAAGCTGGGAGTATTTACTTTTGCTTGAACCTGCTGGTATCTTCTTAAGATTTTTAAAACTGACGTTCTTACCGGAGAACTCAGCAAAGACATTTTTAATGCTAATAAAAAAACCTTAACAATAGTGCAAATTTAAAACATATGACCAATTTAAATGATATTCTAATGTGAACTTGAAAATGACGTCTTTACTTTCACTATAGAGTATGAATGCTGCGAAATGTTCACCCAATGTTTTAAATTATATATCACTAATATTCTACATGCAAATTTTCAATTCAATATTTTAATCGACACTCAAAACTCTTATCTACTCCTTATACAAAAATGTCGCCGCAATTGAAACAAAATAAAATACGAGGTTATGTAAAACTTAACTGTCAGTTTCGCAGTTACGAATGTCAAAACCGAAAACGGATTTTTAAAAATTTTATTTTCGTAACAAAATTTATTTTTGAGAACGTACAGGTATGGTAACAACTACAAAACAAAAAGCTCTTAATCTAATTAAACACTGGTATATATAGTCTTTCTATATGTCGTCACACATTGGATAGTCCAGGGACGTAACTCCTCCACCCTTAGAAAGAAGGATATCCTTGGGTTGGGATGTGCTTCTTTACAAAATTAATTCCGGGGTTTCTTCTTTCTTCTTGTTTTCTTTGACGCACATTTTTACAATATTTAGTTAAATAATATAAAATTAAAATGAAAATTATTATATATATACAGATTGTCCAAAAACTTGTTTGTTTAAAATAAATTGAATTATTATCTTTCAAATTATATTTTTGTGTTTCTAACTTCTCTAAAATATCTTTAGTCTTTCTAAGGTTAATTGTATTAAGATTTATTGGTGAAAAATTTGAACTTTCATTTTGAAAAATATTAATAGAAGGAATAACTTTTGGAAGATTTATATGAGCAAAATGAGTTTTACTAAATTTTTCTGTTTGGAAGACTTCATTCTTGATTTTCACGGTACAATCGGGAACTGATTCTAAAACATAGCTTCCATGTATTGGTAAATTTTCTTTTGAATTTGGGCATTCGATAATTGCTAATTCTTCTTCTGGAACTGTAACTATCCATTTTCCGTCGCTAATTCTTGTGGATTCTATCTTCTTTATCTTTACTTCAAAATGTTCACATGATAATGTCTTCTTCTTAAAATTTATTAATTGGACTGCACAAGGGGCTTCTTCGGTTATCGTTAGTTTATTACTTCCTTTACATATGTACTCTTCTGAGTCTATTTCTGTGCATATATCTTCCATATAGATATAGCTAAATTCATTAAGTGCAAGGAAAGGTTTGTAAGGTAAATGAATAAGATAATTTGAGTTGTTCATAGGAATAGGAATAGGGAATAGTTGGTAGTAATCATATATTTCCGATTCAACTAATGGAATCTCTAATACAAATGTTATTATAGAATTTACTGAATAGCTCTTAATATTTATTATTTTCTCGTACTGAATTATTTTTCCTAGTGTAGTATCAAAAGGCATTAATTTTGACTTTGTCTGAGATTTTGCTTTCTTAATTTCATTTAAAAGTTCAATTGGATTTACTATAGAATTGTGCAAGGTATTTATTTTAGCAAATGAGATGGCTGTTTCTACTTTCTCAAAGATATCATAAATTGTTTGATAAAGTAAAGTAATTTGATTTATTACTATAAATGACTGAATATGTGTATACATACTTTTTTCAAATAAAGCTAATTTATTCTCTATAGCTTCAATTTTTGATTTTAAAATCAATTGATTATGTGAAATATTATTGATAGCATTATTAAAAGTATTTATAGAATCTTGCAATAAAGATATTTGTCTTAGGGAATTTACTTTTAAGTTATTTCGATTATCTTTTAATTGTTTTATTTCGTTCTCTATTCTTTGTGCGTCTTCTTGGTCCATATTTCCTGTAATACATTTTATTATTGTTCCTAGAGGATTTAGAAGTCCTCTTTTTGTTCTCTTTTCTTCCTTATACAAAGGCGGATTAATTTGATATATCTGCTCTTCTATTTTATTTTGTAATGTAATTAGAGGGATAAATGAGTTTTCTAATTCTGAATAATAACTTGTCTGATTTTTAAAGCTTGTGTGTAGTCTTTGAGCTTCATTTTTCAATAAATAAAATTCTTGTATGACAGAAGTTAAATTGTAAATTTGTATAAATGTCCAGTGTGTAGAAATTATTTTAGAGGTACCTAATCTGAAAGGTAGGAGTCCTGGATATGAAGTTACATCTTCAAACTTGACTAAGTTGTCTCTTGCGTTGATATAGTTGACTGCTCCGAAGATTCCGACAATGAATCTGAAATATTAGGCAAAATTTTAGTTTCGTTTATGTGGACTATTATCTTCTTTTTATTCTTGGGATTTTCAATTTCTATTTTCCCATTTTCTAATATCTGTGTAAGTATATATGGTCCCGTATATTTTCTACTTAATTTTCCTCCGCGAGTTTCTGTTTTTCTATAAACTTGTGATCCTAAACGAGGATCCTTTGAATTCCTATTTTTATTTCTTTTTCCAATTACGTTTTCTTTCAGTTTTTGATTTTCTTCTGTATACTTGTATATAGAGCTTGAGTATTATTTTGATGTGCATTAACATATTGAGTATAAGCTTGTGCTGGAATAAGTCTCATGGGATCTTTACTGTCTGTATGTCCCGATACTAATTCGAAAGGTGTATGGCCAGTTGCTGAATGTATAGTACTATTATAGGCAATAAGAGCATAAGGCATAATAGAAATATTATCTGCATCTTTATCTTTTTCTTTTAGTATTCTTAAGTGCTCAGTTAAAGTAGAATGGAATCTTTCTACTGGGGAATTGGATTCGTGATGATATGGAGTAGTAAAATGTATTTTTATTTGATGGGTCTTTAGTAATTCATCTACAACGTCATTTTTGAATTCTCCACCACTGTCTGCAACAATTTGCTTCGGTATTCCGAAAAATGAAAAGAAATGTACTAATTGTTGACATGCTGATATAGCTGTGCCAAAATATGGTAATGCTTGGCCATATTTTGAAAATTTATCTATAATTGTTAAAAATCTTTGATTGCCAACTTTATAAGTATCTATATGTATTATCTCAAAAGGCTTGGAGGGTGTGTGGGTTAATATTAAAGGTTCTTTATGTGGATTTCTATTATATTTGGATCTCTGGCATATTTCACATTCATTTATATATTTTTCTATGTCCTTTTTCATTGATTTCCAGTAGTAATTTAGTTTTAAAGCTCTAAGAGTCTCTGAAATTCCTCGATGATTTGTTTTTCCGTTGTGCTTATATTTTATTAGTTGATTTCTTTCTTCTGGTAAATACATTGTTAACTAATTTTGTACATTCAATTAATTTTAATTTTGTAAAATATTTACGCCATACATTCTGAAATATTGGTCGTAATTCTTGAGATAAGAAATAAATGTATAAAGTATTTTTGCACACATTTTCTTTTAGGAATTGGGTTACACTTTTTTCGTCTGCTGAAATAGTAGCTTTTATTATTTTATGTCCTTCAAAATTCTCGCATTCGCGTTTTAAATAATTTGCAAAAGGCGCTCTTTTAACGATAAGTTGATAGGCTTTATTGTTTATTATTTCATCTAACAATGAGAACCTATTTTCATTTGAAGATTCAGCACTATGAGCTGTGTCTGTGTCTGAGTTATCTATCTCAACGTTTTCATTGTTCTCATTTCCTGTTGATATAATTTTATTTACTAGTGGGTTTTCTGTAACCTCATTATTATCAAGAATTTGCAAAGTTTCATTTATTACATTTTCATCAACTATGTCTGGGTTAAATTCAGCTAAAAATTGGTCGATATCAAAATCTATGTCACCGGGATTATTTATATTTGATTCTGTTTCAATTGCATTAATATTTATTCGACTTAAAGAATCGGCAATATTCGTTTTACCGGGTTTATATTTTATAGTATAGTTAAATTCTTCTAATTTTAATCTCCATCTTAATAATTTGGAGTTGGGTTCCTTTAAATTAAATAACCATATAAGAGGTCTATGGTCGCATAAAATTTCAAAAGATCTGCCGTATAAATAAGGTCTAAATGTTTTACAAGCCCATACAATTGCTAAAAGTTCTTTTTCTATCGTAGAATATTTTTGTTCTGTTTGATTAAGAGTTCTTGAGGCATACACTACGGGTAAATCATTTGGTACTTTTCCTTGTGATAAAATTGCACCTAAGGCTATATTTGAAGCGTCTGTGGTTAATATAAATGGTTTTGAAAAATCTGGATATTTTAAAATAGGGGCATTAATTAAAAGTTCTTTAAGATGATTAAAAGATTTCTTAAATTCTGGAGTATGTATTACTTTTGCATGTTTCTTTAGACACATTGTTAATGGTTTAGCTATTTTAGCGAAATCTTGGATAAATCTTCTGTAATATCCCGCTAATCCTAAAAATGACTTTATTTCTTTTTGTGTAGTAGGAATAGGAAAGTTTTTGACTGCATTTATTTTATCTGGATTTGGTCGTACTCCTTCTTTTGTTATAACATGACCTAAATATGCCACTTCTGTTCGTAAAAATTCTGATTTATCTAGTTGTATTTTTAAATTAGATTTTCTTAGTCTTTCAAAAATTGATTTCAGTCTTGTAACATGTTCTTGCAATGATGAGGAAAAAACAATTATATCATCTAAGTATATATAGCAAATTTCATTCTGGTATCCTCTTAATACATTATTCATAACTTTTTGAAAAGTAGCTGGGGTATTTTTCAATCCAAACGGCATACGTAAAAATTCATAATGTCCTGTCTCCGTGGAAAATGCTGTTTTTGGTACATCGGCTGGTTCCATTTCTATCTGATGGAAACCATTTGCTAAATCTAACGTAGTAAAATATTGAGCTCTTCCTAGACCATCTAGAATGTTATCTATTAATGGCAAGGGAAATTTATTTTCTATGGTATTTTCATTTAATTTGCGATAATCTATTACTATTCTATATTTCTTTTGGTTACTTGCATCCATTTTCTTCTCTATTACCCAGATGGGTGAATTAAAAGGCGAATTTGAGTCTTGTATTATTCCA